GCCGGTCGGTTTATGGTCTCCCATGTTCAATGCCAGCGACTCGCGGTGGCAGACAGCCTGGCAGCCAGGCGATCCCTTTCTCGGAACGATGAACCTGCCATTTGTATGGGGATCACACACCGAGTCCCCCGTGCTTTCTCATCCACCGCTTTCGTACCTTCTGCATTTTTCCTCTCCTCTCTCTTTCTTCCTCCTTCTTCCTCTCTGTCTCTCTCGCTCCGACTATCTATCTTCGCGACGGTATCTCGCATAGTTAAAAATACCGACGGAAAGCAGACGCGGGTAAGGCTTGGCGCTTCGTTACCAGCGAAATCCACCCGCGAATATTATCTCCCTCGGCTGCCACCGCGATGGCGGACGCAGAAACCGCCGAGAGCCTCCATCGGCGATCGCTCCGCCGTCCTTCATCCACTTCCAATTTCGATCGTTCTCTGACGTCGCGGTCCAATATAAATCGCACAGCTCTGCCAACAGCCGGTTCAAAATCAAGTGTACCGAAATGCGTGAACGGTAAAAGACGACGATTTGGCAGAAGCTGGCTCCGGTCAGAATTAGAATGACCGCGGATGGACTGACAGAGGCGTACTTCCTGTTCGATTTTGCGGAAAGTCTGGCACTCGAGACGCGAAAACGCACGCGTGACCCGGATTTCCGCGAAACGACCAGCTTAGCTCTAAGCGGACCACCGGACTAGGATTACGTTGGGTGGTCCAGCCGGGATGGAAGGACGAGAGGGGGCCGGTATTTAATAACAGGAGGTATACCTGGTGGCCAGAGCGCGGTGCCCCGGCGAGTAAGCTACGTTTAAGGGTGCTTAAAATTTCCGTCCCGATGCCGGGAACTCCCGGCCCGAAGATTTTTAACACCTTCAGAGACCCCTCTGCTTCGGACCAATTTGTAACCGGGTTTACCGAGCCCCCCTCGATACAAATTCGGTTGTTAGGGTTGCCCGAAACCGGACACTTTACTGCCGACTTAGGTCTCTGGCCGATGTTCGCGGGATAAATTCGCTTTATGCCAGTGTAAATTCCAGGCGGGACGCTTACGCGTGTTCTCGAGGCGAAGCTCGCAGCGGACCCTTGGTCCAGCGAGCAACTCGTAGCGCCGGTGCTAATAACCGCGGAGTTTCGCGTTCGCACCCTGTACCGGCTGTCAAACGCGAACAAATGGCCCGCGTACACGGCAGCAGATCCGATCTGGCTCTCTCGAGAGAGAGACGTACGTAATCGTTGGCAGAGTTTTTCCGAAAGTCGTGCCGAGTCCCCGCGATCTTTTTACAAGGGATACGCGCGTCTAATATTTTATAGCGGCGCGAAGACAATGCACGATAATGCACTTAACGACTGTGCTCGTTTCTGCACCCGGCCGGCGTGCATATAAACGAGCTTGATCTCTCTTCGTGATCTCTGCACCGTTTCAATCGGCGCGAAAGAATTTTCCATTAAATCGGCCGTTTGCCCGTCGTAAATGTTCCCCGGTCGCCGTACCAGCCAACGTAAATCAGGCGTTGGAATTTCACCAACCGGCTGTCAATAAATGTCAATAAATGTCGATAAATTCTGGGAAACTCTCTGTCGCGATCGAATCTTTTTTCAAAAACGTTCACGACGCGTGTCGATCATCGGATTTGAAAAACGCGCGCGCGATTCCTTGGGATTTACGACGACGGCGCGCGATGACCGGGCCCCGTTATCGGCGTTACGAACGCGTCCACGACTGCTCGACGAGCGGTGGCTAAAATTCACGAGGATAGCCAAGCACTCTGTTCGTACGCGATAACAGCGTGTCGACGACCCCGGAATTTTTATCGTAAATTTTCACCAGCCACGGCTCGCGACCATCGTCGCTGCAAGATCGGGCCCCGTCGCTCAGTGACCCCCGATACTCGTTCATCGTGAAACGCATCGTTCGATTCTCCGAAATTGATTCTCCTTTTTACCACGGTTTATCGTGTCCGTTTGCCATTCGATTTAATTATTCTCCAACAGCGACTGGTATCTAATCACGGCCCGGCTCGATAATGCCCCGTATTTACTCATCCGTGTACATAACAAAGTTCGTCGCGCAGAGTAGCCATACGTGAACGCCGTGGAAGAGGATCGATTCGTAAACTATCGAGCAGAATCGTCTCGAGGAAAATTCGTTCTATGGAGAACTCGAGGACGTCGAGGTTAGGGTGACGACGGAGACCTAGATGGCGGCCATTACGGGGGAAGATGGTTTTTAACGCTAGGTTTACGGACTCTATCTGTATACCTGCTTCTACGGACACCTGTCAAATTTACAGGTTAACCCCTTCTCGTGCCATTTAGCTCGACGAAATTCGGGCCCAAACGGTAGGCGTGAACGCGTGGTAAATATACCAGACTTATGCTCGAAAACAGTCGCAATACGAGCCAAAATGTAAATACGCGTGATGTAGGCAGTTTTACACGCTCCTGCTGCTGTGGAAGTAAACTTTAATCCATTTTCCTTTAATAAATATAAATATATTATATTTTATAATAGATGACAGTCTCAAAACTATATTTCATTAATTTACGTTTGGGCCGATATTCTGTTCACGAGTCTGGCTCGTGATATTTGTCTTTGGGCCAAAATCTTCATCACGAGTCAGACTCGTTAAAGTACGGGAAGGGGTTAAGGAAACCACGTGTTTATTCTTTTTTAACGATTAGTTTAATTTAACCCTTTTAGTGCCAGCGCCGAAATATCGGCCCGCACTTTGTAGCGCTTTATTATTCGCATTGCGAGAGAAGTCTGTCTCAAAATAAATTTATAATACGTTATAAATGGTCCAATTTCATTAGGAGGGAATTAAATGAAATAGTTTTTGGATTTAACTTTTCCTTATATTCTATGCCGGTTGATGCCGAGACTGCTTATACGGTAGAAATTCAACACGGGCGGCGTTATTCTTTATTTTTGTTACGCAATATTATTTATTTTGTTACAAAATATATTGGAAATGCAAAGTATATACTTTCTAATAAATGGTCTATATAAAGTTATGATGAAAAGATGATTTTTCGTATGTGCAAATACGTTTTGTAAGAGAGATCTGAATTTTTATTTTCTTTGTGATCATTTGTACCTTTGTTATTTATATAATTTTCAATGAATATAGAAAAATTAGTGTCGTTTTATTCTCTATTTCGTCCGTAATACGCTGCTTTTTGAATTACGTAAATATTGTTATTTGTTTGGTTTTTATGAGCCTTTTTGCAAACCCTAGTAATATCGTGAAATTTGGCCGGTTATCTTCGCATTGGCACGTCTTTTTCGCCCGGCACTAAAAGGGTTAAAAACAATTGCAATATTTAAAGTCTTAATATAACTTAACCAAATCCGTTACCATCGTACAGTTGGAGCAACCCATCCGTCAAATTGACGGGTTTCGTAAATCTAGTGTTAAATTCGGCCGAAAGCTGACCTCGCTTCTCTCTCTCTCCGTGACCCTGATTCCCTTCGGGATAGTTAACGATAGTGCAGCACGCATCGTTCGAATTTATCGGCGACCTAATCCGCTTTCTGCGATCCGAGATCAAAGAGAATGGAGGATTCCCTCGCGGATGAACCTCGTGCCGCGATACCTCTATATTTCATCTCGTCCATACGAGGAGGAGAGGGAGCTTTGAAATACTTTCCAACGAAATATCGTTGGCTCGATCAAAGAGGCAAAGGTTTTTTCCCCGACGCGAATGAATTCCTGCGCCGAAGGAACGTCCGCTGATGTTAAATGCACGAGCATGGAAGGGAACGTGCGCGAATAAATGTCGCGACGCGACCGGACAGAAGCCGCATCTATAATTGCGATAACAACGTCGTTATTCACCGACCTTTCGAAACCGTCTCCTCGAGGAAATCAATCTTTTTCCCCCGGCGCCGTGAAAACGTTCTTTAAGGTGAATTACGCGCGAGGGGGGCAAGACCGGGCACGGGAACGCGACGATAAGCGCGTCGTCGTTGCATAACGAACGATACATCGGTTTTCGAGTAATTGGACGCATTGTGAGAGCGCGTTGGGCGCCGGACAAGTTAATTCCAGCCGCCTTTTGTCCGCTCGCTGATAAATTATTTCAAGTTTTACCCCCGCGGCTCTGGGCGCCGCTATCAGATCGAAGCCGCGAGCCAAGGGATAAGTGAAAACAGACGGTCGTTTCTTTGCCTTCCAGTCCTTTCTATTCAATTACTCCGTTCCCTCGGTGCGTAGCAGAGATTTAAAGCCGTCTGTGTGTCGGTGGTAACAGCGATCCGCTGCGTTCGAGGTTCTCGCGCGAAAAATTCGCAAACGACACGCTGCTCGAAGCAGCGGGCAAAGAAGGTTTCCCCGATGGTCTCTGGCGTATCGACGCGTGGCCTGTTTTTCTCGCGTCGCGATCGTCGCGAGGACTGGACGAGCGGCGGGGCCCAAAAAAGCATAAAACGAAAGGCACGCGAAAAAGAAGCGGCCGACCGCCGCGAGTTTCGAGTGTTCATCGACGTGCAGGACTCGCTCGCTCGCTCGCGGCTGCCAGCCGCGCGAGAAGCGTCCGCGCGGAGAAATTGGCGCGGTGTGCAGCGCGCGTTATGCTATACGCGACGCGTATACGTGGTATGCGCGCGTTCGCGAGGTTTGTTTCCATAGCGCGGCTCGAGATCAAAAGATCCAGATGTTGCGGGCCGCGATTAAGTGGGTCTTGGTGCTCCTTCCGGACGCGCGGGGCTGGCCCGGCGAGGATGGCGCGTCGCGATGAGATGCAAATTCGTTTATTAACCTTATCTCGGGCAGAAAATCTCGCGACTAGCCACGGGGGAGCGTTGGCCCACCCACGATCGAAAAAGATGGAAAAAGATGGCAAAAGGGGGAGAGAGATCGCGGGGACGATTAATCCTTTTTGCTCTTTTCTCCATTTTTTCCGCCGCGAGCACGAGCTCTATCGCGCGAGCCAATCTCGTTAGATAGTATTTCGCGCGGAATCTTTCGGCTAAAATTCATCGAGATTTCTTTCTTCGTTCAGAACTACGCCGAGGACGGGGACGAAGACGAGACCCCGGCCACGACCAGCTCGTCGACGACCACGAGCACCACGACCACCACCACCACCACCACTACCACCAGCACCACGCCCAGGCCTGCGGTTACGCAGAATTACGATTACCGGGACCCGAGGGCGTACGAGGGTGGGTCTGGGGCACAGTACAACGGGTATCAATCGAAAAACGACTATCCCCCGATGTCGGCGCACAGCGTTCACAAGTGGCAGTCTCTGGGCACTCGAGAGGGCGTCAAAGAAACCAGAAGCAACATGCAGCAGTACAATAAGAACGGGAAGAGTAAGTTGACTTCGATCTATGCACCATACTTTGCGATGGCACGGCAAGAAAAGGTAGAGGGAAGAAAGAGAGAGAGAGAGAGAGAGAGCGGGAAAAAATTGCACGCGGAATTCCGATCGCGTAGAGAAAAACCTTGCCTGGACAAGCGCACCGTAATCGAAATTCCATCCTGTCGATTTATGCAAATATTCGCAGGGTGCCCTCGAAACAGCACCTGTCTTCCCTCTTTCTCCGGCAGCCGTATCGTTATTAATCGCTATTAAATCGACGATGGTGGTCCCTCGTGGCTGTATCTCGTCAACGCGATGCCTCAGCCTCGCTGCCAATTATTCCTCCAACGTAAATAACGGGCAAAAAGCGGACGAGTAGTTCGTTAACCGCGACCGGGCTAGAAATTAATAGCAAAAATACCGCGCCAAATAAACCCAGTCGATTTTTCCCCTCTTCCGTTCCGATCCCTGACATCATCGCGATCGCGCGACGACGTCTTCCTCCTCGATCCTCAACGCTTCGACACTCGCTCGCGTAACGCGGCGAAGGGGACACCGGGCGACCTATTAATATGCAAATTAATTACGACTATTGCGCCGTAGTCGACACGGTTGCGGCAATTCCAAGCGTACGAACTCTCTCGCTTGTCCCACGCGGTTTCTGTGCCCGAGCCGACACCTCTGCCCTTTATTCCGCGTTAATTCGTATCGAGCCGCTCGAATCGATTTTCCGCGCTTTCGACACGCCGTCTACCGACCTCTCGCTCGATCATCGTACCCGCGCGCGCTTTCCAGCAACCCCCGTCGAGGATTAAACGCGGCTACCTTCCGTTTCGACGTCTATTCGTTAGCCTGCTCGACTATTCGATCGCTGATCGATCGCCGATAAGTCGCGATAGGTCAGTTTCGTTAGGTGCCGCGAATGAAAATCAATCCGCTCGGCCGGAAAAATCGGCCACAATCGGATCTGGTCCCTTTCTCTTATAATACATTCCGGAATACGTTTGAATACGGGATGTTCGGCGAGCGGGCATACTTTAGCTTCCCTGACGGTCGTGCCTCTATTGTAAACGCGCCGATATAATCTCGTGTCAGTGCAGCCGTGGCGAGAGTAACGCCTACGTTGGGAATTAGCATACAGCCAGATCGCCGGCGGAGATTAAACCGAGAAAATAATTCCCCGCCAAGGGACACGTTTCCCAAACTTCTCCCCTCGGTCCTTTTATTCGCGGTTCCACCGAAATTCACTGGCTGTCGCGCCGTTTCTCCTTAACCATTTCCCGTGTAATGACGAGTCTGACTCGTGATGATGGTTTTGGGTCAAACTCGAACATCACGAGTCAGACACGTGAACGGAAAGTCGGCCCAAACACGAATATCACGAGTCAGACTCGTGAACGGAACATTTTTCTAAATATATAGTTTGGAAACTGTATACTATTATAAAATACAACATATTTATAACATTTATAGTATTAATGCTAGATTAACCCTTTGCACTCGAGAGGTGACTCTCAGTCACCATTTGATAAAATTTCGAAGCTCGATATTCAAAAATATGTAAAATTGCAGATAATGTAACGGTGTGCGAGGTGTCGAAATCAAATAATTCCTAGTGTTAATTATCATACGATCTCTTATTCCTGCTCAGAAAAATATCGTCTGCTTTGTAACAGAAAATCTTTCAACTCCTATCCTTCTTTGGCCAACAAATCGTCGAGTACAAAGGGTTAAATAATGAACGACGATAATTATATTAAGAACATCGAAGTAAAATTATTCTATTCGCTTGTTTCCCACGCAAATTCACGATTTTCTGCTCTTAATTTTAGCATAAAGAGTATCAGTGACTTATAAAAATCTAAGAGCTTCGAATTGCATCTTCGCAACGAAGAAATCCTCGAGTTCAAAGGGTTAATCCGGTGCTGACAGACATCTGCGCGTCTAATAAACGACTCCTCCTTTTTAACCCCTTCTCGTACTTTAACTAGTCTGACTAGTAATGAAGGTTTTGGTCCAAACATGAATATCACGAGTCAGACTCGTGAACGGAAAATCAGGCCAAACGTAAACATCACGTTGGGATGATGTTTTGCCAGTTACGATCATGATTGAGTTTTAATTCCTACTAAAATACGCCACGAGAGTTGGTCACGATTCTTATAATCTTTGTAACAAAGCAGATGACGTCTACCGTTTGGGCCCGGATTTTGTCGAGCTAACTATCGCGAAAGGGGTTAATAACGAAACAGATTTATTTAAACTAATAAACTAATAACCTAGTGCAAAGACAAGGTGGTTGTTAAATAATATAAAACTATTTATTGATGATAAAATAATAATACAATGTGCGGTGACGGTGAAAACTACGAATATATATATATATATCAACTAAACTCTTACAACTATAATTAACAACACAAATATAACTAACAACACGATTACAACTCACTGACCCAGCTTAACCGTTTGAGTGCCACGGGTCATTATTGTTTCCCAATCGATATTTGCCAAGCGGCGCGATAGCGCTTGTCATATTCCGTGTCCAAAAATGCCGAGCGGCGCGATAGCGCTTCTCATATTCCGCGTTCACCAACCGAGCGCACTTTTGGGCACAAAATAGAAGAAGCGCGATCGCGCCGCTTGGCACTAAAACGGTTAACTGTCTCTCAAGAATCCTTCGCTAACCATTTTCGCCTTCTTATATACATTCCCGAAAAGCCTCCCCCAACATGACCAAATATGGTCATGCCAAGGGCCTGACGCATCGTCGGGGTTTTTCCGACCGACCTGGCCCTCGAACCCTCGGCGACTTTCCAAACCAAAGTCACCTACACACGAGGTGGGAATTCTGCGATACTACACTAGTCTTTTTGTCCTGAAGCGTCTCGACGTTCTGAAACCGATGGCTGAAACAACTGAGAGCTGTAGCGGGCCAGGCTTTTGGTCTTTCTTGAAGCTAGGCAGCCAGTTCCGCGTCATTCTTCGCTGTATTCGGACGTAAAGGGTGTTAGTCCGATGTTAGTCCGATGACTGAAGAAAGGTGGGACCCTTCACGTCCGTATGCAACGAAGAATGACACGGAACTGACAGTTGAGGATCAAGAAAGAATAAACGCGTGACCGTTACAGCTGACAACTGTTTTACATCGGTTCCAAACGTCGGAGACGCTTTAACCACTTGCGCTACGATTTAACACTTTGCAATCGAGAGGTGACTCTCAGTTGCCATTTAACCCTTAAAGCTCTATGGACGCATATTTGCGTTTGGCGAAAGTCATCCCCGTGTAGCCTAAGGCCGCATTTATGTGTTTTCTCTGTCATCGGCCTGGACTAAGGGCGCATATATGCGTTTGTCGATTTTTTCAATCAATATGCAGTTATTTTCGCGTAAAATTAATACAGAGGCACTCGTTAGCAATTTGCCTTCCTTAGGTAGCGGTTGGGCAATATTAGGGTCATAAAAATCGCCGGGAATTTCCGATAATTGTTTTGAAATTTTCCACACACAATTGAATTATTGACTTCCGTTATATTTATTAAATTTAGGCTTCTAGTTTATTGTTTTCTATTTTATTACACAAATTTTAGTTTATTTTAAATTTCAATGTTAATAATAAGGAATTAATACTAAAAAATAACGCTCTTGAATCATTTAATCTCGTGCGAAAGAATTACTATAACTTATTACGATTTGCGCTTAGAATAGTTCATCAACAGAGTTCAGTCTAGCGAAAAAGTATTCCGTCCACAGCGATCGTCAGCGCTGGCCGCGCGCCGTCCGTACGGACCACATAGACCGCGAGTATTCAGCACTCTAAGGGTTAATCAAATTCTAAAAATCGTTAATTAATATCTCGAATTTAAAATTGGCCAACGACGCGTGGAATATCGAGGTAAAATAATTCTACGTCTTACAATTAATTTGCACTTCTTGTTTACCGTTTTGAAAATATCGTCGACTTTATGACAGAAAGTCTTCGAATTACTATGTTTCTGTAACGAAAAGATCGTCGAGTGCAAAGGGTTAACTTTCGGTTGCCGTGTCGCGATCTACGATATAACATACGATAAGGCGTTACATCGAGGTCGCACCGCGTCTATGAGCTAACTGTTAGCTAACGTGAGGGACACGTGGTTTTTGTTTCCGCGACAAATGCCTATCGACGTGGTACACACGTCGCTGGCGGCTTTGGAACAAAAGCATCTCGACGTGCGTGGCACGTCTTTATATCGCAAGTGGTTAAACCGCCGCGCGAATGACGTACGAATGTCGGTCGTTGGACGTCTGCGAGAGAGAAGGCGGCCTCTCATCCGCGAGGAGATAAATCGAGGGTTGTACGGTTCGCGAAATTGCGAGCACTCCAGCTTCGAGGAACAAGAGGCCCTCGATCCCTTAACGAGAGAACGCCGCAATCGTTTATTCGAGGAAGCGTGTTCGCCGGTTCCCTGCTTCGTTGCGAACCATGAAACTGCGTTGCTCTAACGTCTCGGCAGAAAACAGGCCGATTCACGGCAATCAGAACCCTCTCGGCAGATAGGACGATTAGGGCAGACATCCTATGCTTCCAGTCCGAGTATCGAGTAATGGCATCGATTGACACACACCTATCGTCGATTGTGCTTATCAGGGTAAATCCTTCGCGTTGAAAGACAACGTTATACGTTGTCACTTCTGTCCCGAAGCGTTTACAACGTTTGGAACCGATGTGAAACAGTTGACAGCTGTAGGGCGTCACTTAGTGGTCAGTTTCGTGTCATTCTTCGCTGCATATTGACGTGAAAGGTCCAACCTTTCTTCAGTCATCGGAGTAAAATTATATTCCATCTTTTATTTTCCCTATTCTTGATTAAAATTACTGTTTCATTGAGTACGCCCAGCACTGTGTGCATTTTCTAATCTTCGAATCTACATTTTCATTCAAATTATGCAATTGTGAGTAGTTCAAACGCTCCTGTCATCAATAACCACCGTGGCGTTACAGGAGAAATCGTGGTTGATCATATATGA